ATGACGAATCTGTGCTATTGATGGCCTCTGAATCTGATGATATGGATCTGACAGACTGGTGGTATATGGACACTGGCTGTTCAAATCATCTTACTGGAAATAAGAAATGGCTGGTTGACTTTGACTCTGAAAAGAGGACAAAGATCAGATGTGCTGATGACAAATATCTTAATGCAGAAGGTATGGGAAATGTCAGAGTGATTCTGAACAATGGGAAAACAGCATTGATTCAGAACGTGTGGTATGTACCTGGCATCAGAAGCAATCTGATGAGTGTGGGACAATTAATTGATAAAGGTTTTTCAGTTACCATGAAGGACAATCTTCTGAAGCTGTATGACTACAATCAGAAGTTGACTATGGAGTCAGAACAGGGAAGGAATAGAACATTCAAGGTGAATGTCAGAATTACAGACTCAGAATGTCTTAGTGCAACATGTGCTGAGAAGGAGAGTGAGCTGTGGCACAGAAGATTTGGTCATTTGAATTTCAGAAGCCTAAAACATCTGAATTCAAAGAAGTTGGTACATGGAATTCCTGCAATTAAGAAGCCTGAAAAGTCATTCAAAGTTTGCATGGAAGGAAAACAACCACGTTTTCCATTTGCGTCAGAAGTTGCTCCAAGAGCAAAACATGCCTTGGGAGTTGTACATTCTGATGTGTGTGGTCCATTTCCAGTAGCATCAATTGGAGGGAATAAGTATTTTGTGTTATTTGTTGATGAATTCACAAGAATGACATGGGTATCCCTTATTAAGTTCAAACACGAGGTGTTTGATGAATTCAAGAAATTCAGAATGAAGGCTGAGAATCAGAGTGGTCAGAAGTTGAAGATTCTTAGAACTGACGGTGGAGGTGAGTATAACTCCAAAGAGTTCCAAAAGTTCTGTGAGGAGAATGGAATTGAGCATGAGGTTACTGCTCCTTATACCCCTCAACACAATGGTCTTGCTGAAAGAAGAAACCGCACTTTGCTTGATATGGTGAGAAGCATGCTAAAGGAGAAGAAGCTTCCTCAGAAGCTCTGGGGAGAAGCTGTTGCCACTGCAACGTATGTACTCAACAGATGTCCTACGAAGACGTTGAAGGAAATAGTTCCTATGCAGAAGTGGACTGGAGACAAGCAAAGTGTTAGTCATCTGAAGGTGTTTGGTTCTGTTTGCTACAAACATGTTCCAGAAGCCAGAAGACAGAAGTTGGATGATAGAAGCAAAGTGATGATTCTGATAGGGTACCACAGTACAGGTGCATACAAGCTCCATTGTCCAGAAACCAATAAAATTGAATTCAACAGAGATGTGATTGTGAAGGAATCAGAAGTTTGGAATTGGGATAAGTCTCAATCTGATTCTGATGTTAGAACTTCTGAAGAAAGGTCAAAGTTAAGAATTTCTGAAGTTGAAGTAAACTCTGACGTTGATTCTGACTCTGATAGTGATTCTGACTCTGGAGAAGACTCAGAAGATGAAGGTGACTCTGATGATCCAGACTCTGATGGTAATCCAGATTCTGGTGGAATTTCAGACTCTGAAGATGGCCAAGACTCTGAAAATATGTCAGATCTTGAAGATGGTCAAAGCTCTAGAGGAAGTCAACCATCTGAAGCTGGAAACTCTGAAGCTCAAGACTCTGAACAAGTTCAGAGACCACAAAGAATCAGAAGCGTTCCCAGAAGATTTGCAGAATTTGACATGCTGCAAGACACTGAAGTAGACTCTGAAGGAGAAGTTATTCAGTGTGCCATGTTAGTAGACTCTGAACCTATAAGTACAGAGGAGGCTCTTAAGCTGAAGCTCTGGCTGAAGGCCATGAAAGAAGAACTTGATGCTATAGAGAGAAACAAGACTTGGAAGCTGACAGAACTTCCAAAAGACAAGAAAGCCATCAGCGTCAGATGGGTTTTCAAGCAGAAGTTAAAGCCAGATGGCTCAATTGGCAAACATAAAGCAAGGTTGGTAGCCAGAGGATTTCTACAAAAACCTGGGCTGGATTACTCTGAAGTGTTTGCACCTGTAGCAAGACATGAAACAATCAGAATGGTGATTGCCATAGCTGCTAACAGGAATTGGCCTCTGATGCATTTAGATGTAAAATCTGCATTTCTGAACGGTCCATTAGAAGAAGAAGTTTACGTGTCACAACCTCCTGGATTTGTGAAAAAGAATCAGGAAGGGATGGTGTACAGATTATACAAAGCTCTATATGGATTGAAACAAGCGCCCAGAGCTTGGAATCAGAAGATTGATTCATTTTTCAATAAGCAAGGCTTTCAGAAATGTGAGATGGAGTACGGTGTCTATGTTCAGCATACTTCTGAAGGCAATATGACTCTGGTATGTTTATATGTTGATGATATACTGCTGACTGGAAGTTCTGAACAGGAGGTAGCCAAGTTCAAGAAGGTTCTAATGAATGAATTTGAAATGACTGATCTAGGTAAAATGACATACTTTCTAGGGATGGAGTTCAGATATTCTGAGAAAGGTATCATTTTGCATCAGCTCAAGTATGAATTAGAACTTCTGAAGAGATTTGATCTGAAGAATTGTAAGATGGCTGTCACACCTTCTGATACAAATCAGAAACTGGATTCAGACTCTGAAGGAAAGGATGTGGAAGCTACAACCTTCAAACAGTTGGTTGGTTCTCTGAGGTATCTGTGCAATACCAGACCTGATATTTGCTACTCAGTTGGGATGGTTAGTAGGTTCATGAGTAAACCTAAGTGGTCCCATTACCAAGCTGCTGTCAGGATTCTGAGGTATATCAAAGGAACTCTGAAGTATGGAGTGTTATTTCCCTCTGGAGGAAATAATGAGTCAGAACTTCTGAGTTATTCAGACTCTGATTGGTGTGGAGACAGAGTTGACAGAAGAAGTACATCTGGGTACTTGTTCAAATTTCTGGGAGGTTCTATTTCTTGATGTTCCAAGAAGCAACCTGTTGTGGCGTTGTCAACCTGTGAAGCTGAATACATTGCAGGTGTTGTTACTGCATGCCAAGCTGTGTGGATTCTGAATCTGTTGCAGGATCTGAAGATTAAAGTAGACAAACCTCTGAAGTTGATGATTGACAACAAGTCTGCAATCAATCTTGCCAGAAACCCAGTGTTGCATGGGAGAAGCAAGCATATTGAGACCAAGTATCATTTTCTGAGACAACAAGTTCAGAGTGGAGTGTTAGAAGTTGTACACTGCATCACTCAGAAGCAGTTGGCAGATGTTCTGACGAAAGCTATCAAGACTGATCAATTTCTCAGACTAAGGGATGGAATTGGTGTTACAAGTTTTGATGGAATATGAATTAAGGGATGGTATTAGAATATTAATAGTAATTCATATTTATTTAGTTGTACTATTTTCTTAGCCCCTAAGTTTGTTAGAGGGTATTTTAGTATTTTATCTTATTCTAGTAACCCTAGTTTTAGCTTATAAATAGGGTGACAATCATTGTAACTTTTATCATGTTTTGTAACCGTCATTCTTAATAGAATATTTCCTTTGTTCATCATTTATTCACCTTTGAACCAACAGTAGATAGTTTCAAATTATTAAAACTCAAATGTCAGATTTTAGAGAAGATTTACTTGAAGAATCAGAAAAGGATCTTGATTCTAAAATATGAAGTGAAGTTAATTCTTTAGCAACAAATGAGATTCGTGATTTTGAGTTTTTAATGTCGATAATTATTTGATTTGAAATAGTATATGCAATTGATGTGGTTAGCAAGCTTTTACAATCCAATGATATGGTTATTGATGTCGCTATGGAAATAAATAACGGGATTTATTTCATTTTTTTTAAGGAATATAGAGAAATCGGTTTTAAAAATATAGAATATAATTCCTTAATTGAATAATTTATTTTAAAAATGCTAGAAGGGAGGATTTTTTTAAGTAGCTAAGTTACTTTGATAATATTGACAAAAATTGACTTCTTTTTTTTAATGTTAATTACATAGATAAATAACTAATTTTGATATTGTTGATACTATTTATAACTTAAATAAATAATGCTGTTTTTAAATATTTTTTATTAAAAGTTTATTTTTATTTTTTGTCATGCATCTAAAGAAACCATGATCGGTATATATATGACTTTATTATTATAAGAACTCTACACGATTAAAAAAGAAACAAACTACTTGTCAAAATAGAATAAACACGTGCAAATGCTTTGGATCTCAAGAGACTAAGAGTGACCACACTACCGTTTGCCTTTTTGTCTTTTTAATAGATATTATTTTTGTTTTTAAATAAAAATTATTCTTAATTTTTTTTTGTAAAAAATAATTTATTTACAATAATTTATTACTTTATTTTATTTAAAAAATAACAAATAATTAAAACAAAGAAAATTAATTATCTTTTTTAAGAAAAAAATTTCCACAAAAAAGAATTAAAAATATACAAATTTTTAAAAAAATTATTGATTCAAAATAAATTGTGTTGTAAGATATTAAATCTTAAATAAATAATTTACATAAATTTAATTCAACAATAATATATTAGTTGAACTATATCATACATCAATATTAAATGTACTAATATTTTCAATATCAAACAAAACTAATAACAAATAATTTTATTTTACGTAAAATATTTTCTAATTTTTATTAAATAAATCAAGTAATTTCTACAATATTTAAGGACAACATAGACATTATTTTTCGTCGTTACTAAAATGTTATGATTGCACCTCAAGAGTGTAAGGGACAATGAATCACCGTTTAATTTTTTGTTTGCTTAAAAGATTCTATTTTCATCGATAAATATAAATGTTTTAAAATAACATTTTTTTTTTCAAATTCCTATCTAATTTTAAACTATATTGAAAAATACTATATATTTTTGTAGAAAATAATAATAAATAAGATTTTTTGATCATTGTGTATCTATATATATCTCTCCTATTCTATCTATTTGCTCACAACATAAGCTTCCTTCCTTGAATTGAAACACAGAAATATTATCCACGTTTACTAAACTTACTACACCTAAGATGACAAAACCAAGTTACATAGACGCTGCTTTTTGTTCATCTAAGAACAACGAAGCTTACTTTTTCATCAATGATAAGTACGTGCTGTTAGATTACGCTCCAGGAACCAGCAACGATAAAGTTTTGTATGGACCAACTCCTATTCGTGATGGTTTTAAATCACTCAATCAAACCATATTTGGAAGCTACGAAATAGACTGTAGCTTCGACACCGAAAACAATGAAGCGTTCATCTTTTATGAAAACTTTTGTACTCTCATAGACCATGCTCCACATTCCAACAAAGACAAAATCATCTTAGGTCCTAAGAAAATTGCTGACGTGTTTCCTTTTTTCGAAGGAACCGTGTTTAAAATCGGAATAGACGCGGCATACAGATCAACCAGGGGCAAAGAAGTTTACTTGTTCAAAGGAGATCAATATGCTCGTATAGACTATGGAACCAACAGTATGGTAAATAAAGAAATCAAAAGCATTAGCAACGGGTTTCCTTGTTTCCGTAACACTTAAACATAAACCAACTAGATCAAATGAGTCTAAAAGTTAACACATAAACATAAAACAATTAGGTCAAATGAGTCTAAAAGTTTACATATAATCATAAATATAAATATAAGTCACTGTGATCGAGCAATATGTAAAGTTTCGAACAAATTCGCAAACTGTGGGTCATCATCTTCAGCACCAGCCTGTAGAAGATAACGATCAATCAAAAAAGACACACGAGCCCAGCTAGGATCAGATGGTCCTGCTTCATATACAGGAACTGGCATCTCTGCTGGCGCATCATGATAGGGTGGCGGTACCAGACGAGGACGAGAGACACGATAATACCACTCAAGAAATCAATCATCTGTCTCATATGGGGTGGTGGCCGGTGTTGTCGGACGAATCACATTCTGAATGCTCTGATGGTAACTAATCTAGTCAACATCAATATCACCAACCATCGTATGATCAAAAGGTGGATGTGGAACATACTGCCTATTTCCAAACTGACGCATACATCTGTCAGGAAAGTAAGGAACAATAGTGTCACCCCACCTCAGACACCCCCTATATAGACATAGCTCATCGAACTGACGCCATACTCTATGATTCTCGAATGGGCACCATATGACATCTGTAACAGCCCGAATTTCATTAAATAATTAATTATAGTAATTAATTGATTTAGTGGGATTTTTATTAATGTTGGAAATTAATTTTTATTAATTGGAATTAATAGAGAATTGAGAAGGAAATTGGAAGGAAGGAAAATAAAAGAAATATATATAATAGAGAAGGAAAAGAAAAGAAAGTTGGAGAGAAACATTTGGAAAGAAAAAAGATGAGAAAGAGGGAAGAAGAAGAGAAAGAGAGGAGAAGAAGAGGAAAGTGGAAAATCATCAAGAACCAAAATCAAAGCTCCGATTAATCGAGGTAAGGGTGAGAAATGTTTCTATTTGATCATTGCATGATGTTATATATGTTGGGTTGGGGTTTTGGTGTAGTTTCCATCCTTTTTCATTTAGGGCAAAAGTTGGAATAATCGGTAGAACTGTGATTTAATTTGTTGGAACTGAGTAATAATGTCGTCGAATAGTCGGGTAACATGTATTGATGTTGTTTTGAGCTGGTTTTGATGTTTGGGAGTTGGTTGGTGGTGGTTTGAGAAGGAGAAGACAGAACAAAATTCTGTTCTGTGCAGGTTCGCTGGCCCTCGCCAGGCGAACGAAGGCGAAGCTTCGCCGGGCGAAGCCTAGCGCACGCTGGCGAATAATTATGATTAAGTCCCAGTGGACTTCGCTGGCGAGTTCGCCAGGCGAAGGTTGGTTAGCGAATGTTTGCCCAGCGAAAGTGCTGGCGAATGGTGGCGAACAAAGTCAGTAGCTATTGACTTTGGCTCGCTGGGGAGTCTCGCCAGGCGAAGGCCTAGTGAGTGTTCGCTGAGAGGGTTCGCCAGGCGAAGGTCCAGTGAAGGTTCGCTGCGGGGCCTCGCCAGGCGAATATGGGCGAATTTGACAGCATCTTTTCTTTGTTGTGGTTTCTATGTGTTGACGATTTAGTTGTTTCACATAGACTAATACCTCTACATTTTGAGTATGTATGTGATCTATTGTGATGGTATGTGCTGTGGGTAGCCTACTGGCGTGAATCCTAGAATTGTGATTTGAATGTTAATTGCATCAAGTATAAATACATGTGAACATAATAGGTGATTATGTGTGTATTATTTAATGAACTTTTGAATGCTTGATGTGTATACAATTATGTGATGAGTATGCATGAGAACATTGTGAACATGTGTGCATAACTTATAATTGTATGATTGGTATTGTGATGTGCATACCTTGATTGTTGTGATATATGTTGTATGTGCAATCATTGTGTAATTCTTGAAGAGATGAATTATTAAATGCATGAGATTAAGATGCGAGAACGGTCTTAAGTGCATTGTTGTGGTTGATTGCATATGCATCATTTAGTCAAGAGGCAATGTCTGTTAGTTTCGTGGAAACTAGTGGTTTGTCCCAAACCTAGAAGAGTGGGTTTGAAGGCTTAGAGGACGGGCCTTTGTTGTTATCGGTCTAGAAGAGTGGACCCGGTTTAATGTAAAAACCGAAAACTGATAACGGGTTGTCGGTCTAGAAGAGTGGACCCGGTTTAATGTAAAAACCGAAAAATGATAACGAGAGTCGGTACCGCATTGCATGAGTTGCATTGAGTTGTTGAGTCACATTGATATATGACATATGCATGAAGAGATGCTTATGTGTGAATGATAAGATTGTGGAAATGTGAGTGTATTCATGATGTGGGAATGCTTTGTGAATATTCATGTTGTCTATATATGTGGTAAATATATATGACTAAGAGGGTGAATTGTGGTGAGAAATATGGAGTTGAATTATATGATTACCTATATATATATAATCTTATGCTTTGATTATTATGGTTATATTTCTCACCCTTCTGCTGTTTTATAATGCTCTACGAGGCATTGCAGATTAGGATGCTGGAGTCTTTCTTTTGTGAAGTATAGCTTCATTCTTTTGAGTCGGACTGCTCTGATTATGTAACACCGGGTAGTTAGGCTGGTATAGTATTCTTTGTGATACATTGCGATGTATCAGCTGATGTGGCTTTGTAATTACCTGACATGATGTATTAATCTGGATATCTTATGTGTATGTGAATTAATATTTTGGAAATGATTAAATGATTTTATCTTCCGCTTAAATTTTAATGTTGGAATGTGATTTCTAAAACCATGAAAATGTTACATATTTTATGGAGCAAGTGTTAAAGTGTTTCATTGGTGAAATTGTGACATTCTTCCTTTATACCTTATTCTAAAATTTTCACTCTGATAAATTTGTATATGCATTTATTTAGGGGTATAGAAGGGGGTGTTACAATAGTGGTATCAGAGCAGGTCGGTCCGTCCGGCCAAGTTGTTAGAGTGTTTTCCCTGTGTGTTATTGATATGCGTGTGTTGCATTATCAATATTGGTCGTTCTTGTGTGGTTCTGTTGTTGGAATTAATAAGATGGTTGCAGGGAGGAATGATGAAGCGATCGCAGAAGCTTTGACAAGGTTGGCGGGAGCAATTGGGCAGAATCCTCCGGCCAATGTGAATGCGGGGAATGTTGTTGAAGATGAATTCCGTGCTTTGGGGAGGTTTCAAAGGAACAATCCTCCGATTTTCAAGGGAACCCATGAGCCTGACAAAGCACAGATTTGGTTGAAAGATGTGGAGAAGATTTTTCGGGTTATGAATTGCTCAGATGCACAAAAGGTGCAGTTTGGGACTCACATGCTCGAAGAAGAAGCTGAAGATTGGTGGGGTAATACTCGCCAAAGATTTGAAGAAGATGATATTGTGATCACTTGGGATCTGTTCAGAGAGACTTTTCTGGAGAAGTATTTTCCAGAGGATGTGCGAGGGAAGAAAGAGATTGAATTTCTTGAGTTAAAGCAAGGTAATTCGACGGTAGCGGAGTATGCGGCAAGATTTGAAGAGTTGATCAAATTTTGTCCTCATTACAATACTGCTAATGCCGAGAGGTCTAAGTGCCTCAAGTTCGTGAACGGTTTGAGACCCGAGATTAGGCAAGCTATTGGATATCAGGAAATCAGGCGGTTTTCTGAGTTAGTGAACAAGAGCAGAATCTATGATGAAGACAGTAGGGCTCGGTCTAGCCACTACAAGAGTTTAAGTGATAAGAAAGGAAAAGATCAATTAAGAGGAAAACCTTATGTGACTCCTGCAGACAAAGGGAAGCAGAGAATGGGTTATGGCAAGAGGCCAAGTGGGGGAGTTTCTACTCCGGTTAGATGCTATAACTATGGTGAAGCGGGACATCGTGCTCCCGAATGCAAAAGTGTTGAACAGAAGTGTTTCAAGTGTGGCAAGCCAGGCCACAAGGCTCTTGAGTGTAGAAGCGGTACCGGTGTGACTTGCTACAACTATGGTGAGAGAGGGCACATTAGTACCAAGTGTGATAAGCCTAAGAAGAATCAAGGGAGCGGAAAAGTGTTCGCTCTATCTGGATCTGAGACTGCTAGCGACGATCGATTGATCTGAGGTACGTGCTTCATTAATGGTACACCTTTGATCGCTATAATTGATACCGGAGCTACGCATTCTTTTATTTCTTTGGAGTGTGTTAGAAGGTTGAATCTTGAGTTGTCTGTGATTGGTGGCGGTATGGTTATTGATACTCCTGCTATGGGTTCGGTAACTACACCGTATATTTGTTTGAATTGTCCGTTGAGTATCTTCGGTAAAGATTTTGGAATTGATTTAGTGTGTCTTCACCTAGACCAACTCGATGTCATCCTTGGGATGAATTGGTTGGAATTCAACCGGGTATATATTAACTGTTTTGACAAGACGGTTATTTTTCCAGAATCGGACGTTGCAAGAGATTTGTTTATGACAGTGAGACAAGTGAAAGAATCAGTGCAAGATGGAGCTAAGGTATTTATGCTTATGGAAACTTTGAGAATTGGTGGAAGTGAAGAGATTGGTGCTTTACCAATTGTTAGAGATTTTCCGGAAGTTTTCCCTGAAGAGATAAAGGATTTACCACCGGAGCGAGAGGTGGAGTTTTCAATAGATTTGATTCCTGGAACTAGTCCGATATCGATGGCTCCTTATCGTATGTCGGCATCAGAATTGAAAGAGTTGAAGAGTCAACTTGAGTATTTGCTTGAAAAGAGGTTTATTCGTCCGAGTGTGTCGCCGTGGGATGCACCGGTGTTGTTGGTTAATAAGAAAGAGGGTTCTATGAGGCTCTGTGTGGATTACAGACAGTTGAACAAGGTGACTATCAAGAACAAGTATCCACTTCCGAGGATTGATGATCTGATGGATCAGTTGGTTGGTGCAAGTGTGTTCAGCAAGATTGATTTGAGATCTGGGCATCATCAGATTCGCGTGAAAGCTGAGGATATTCAGAAGACGGCCTTTAGGACGAGGTATGGACACTATGAGTATTCTGTGATGCCATTTGGTGTGACTAATGCACCAGGTGTATTTATGGAGTACATGAATAGGATTTTCCATCCTTATTTGGATAAGTTTGTGGTTGTGTTTATCGATGACATCTTGGTTTATTCGAAGAGCGAAGAAGAGCATGCCGAGCATCTGAAGATTGTGTTATCTGTGTTGAGAGAGAAGCAGTTGTTTGCAAAGCTTTCTAAGTGTGAGTTTTGGTTGAAGGAAGTTAGTTTCCTTGGTCATGTGATTTCGAGTAATGGTATTGCGGTTGATCCGTCGAAGGTTGAAGCGGTATCGCAAAGGGACACTCCGAAGTCAGTTTTTGAGATTAGAAGTTTCCTTGGTTTAGCCGGTTATTATCGGAAGTTTATTGAAGGATTCGCTAAGTTATCGTTGTCGTTGACGCAGTTGACTAGGAAGGGTCAAGCTTTTGTTTGGGATGCCAAGTGTGAAGTGAGTTTCCAAGAACTCAAGCGAAGGTTGACGACAACCCCTGTTTTGATTTTGCCAAATCCAGAAGAAGCGTTCGTTGTGTATTGTGATGCTTCTTTGATGGGTTTAGGAGGTGTGTTGATGCAGAATAACCAAGTTGTGGCTTATGCTTCGAGGCAACTCAAAGTGCATGAGAAGAATTATCCGACGCATGACTTAGAGTTGGCCGCCGTTGTGTTCGTGCTGAAACTTTGGAGGCATTATTTGTTTGGTGCGAGGTTTGAAGTGTTTAGTGACCACAAGAGTTTGAAGTATCTCTTTGATCAAAAGGAATTGAATGCAAGGCAAAGAAGGTGGTTAGAGCTATTGAAGGATTATGATTTTGGTTTGAATTACCATCCGGGTAAAGCGAATGTAGTAGCGGATGCATTGAGTCGGAAATCATTGCATATGTCGGCGTTGATGGTGAAAGAGTTGGAATTGGTCGAGCAATTTCGGGATTTGAGTTTAGTATGTGAGAGAACTTCTTTTGGATTTAAGTTGGGTATGTTAAAGCTTACAAGTGGTATTTTGGATGGAATTCGAGAAGGACAGAAATCGGATTTGAGTTTAGTTGATCGGTTGACTTTAATCAACCAAGGCCAAGGTGGTGATTTTCGGATTGATGAGAATGGGATTATGAGATGTCGGGATCGAGTTTGTGTTCCGAATGTTGTTGAGCTTAAAAAGAGTATCCTTGAGGAAGGACATCGTAGCGGATTGAGTATTCATCCAGGTGCTACTAAGATGTATCAGGATTTGAGGAAAGTGTTTTGGTGGCCTAGTATGAAGAAGGATATTGCGGAATTTGTGTATTCTTGTTTGACTTGCCAGAAGTCAAAGATTGAGCATCAGAAGCCATCAGGTTTGATGAAGCCGTTGTTTATTTCTGAGTGGAAATGGGATAGTATCTCCATGGATTTTGTATCGGGTTTGCCGAGGACGCCGAGTAGTTTTGAGGCTATTTGGGTTATCGTGGATAGATTGACTAAATCTGCTCACTTTATCCCTATGCGTGTGGATTACCCGTTGGAGAAGTTGGCTAAATTGTATATTGAGAGGATTGTGTGTTTGCATGGTATTCCGTCGAGTATTGTTTCGGATAGAGATCCGAGGTTCACTTCGAGATTTTGGGAGAGCTTGCAGAGTGCTTTGGGTACTAAGTTGCGTTTGAGTTCAGCGTATCATCCTCAGACAGATGGTCAGACGGAGAGGACGATTCAGTCGCTTGAAGATCTTTTGAGAGCTTGTGTATTGGAGAAAGGAGGACCTTGGGATAGTTACTTGCCTTTGATTGAGTTTACCTACAACAACAGTTTTCATTCGAGTATCGGTATGGCACCATTTGAGGCGTTGTATGGTAGGCGGTGTAGGACACCATTGTGTTGGTTTGAGTCCAGAGAGAGTTTTGTTGTTGGACCCGAGATAGTTCAGCAGACTACGGACAAGATTAAAATGATTCGAGAAAAGATGAGGATTTCTCAGAGTCGTCAGAAGAGTTATTATGACAAGAGGAGGAAGGCACTTGAATTTTAAGAGGGAGATCATGTGTTTCTTCAAGTCACTCCGATGACAGGTGTTGGTAGGGCATTGAAGTCGCGCAAGTTGTCGCCGCGTTTCATTGGTCCTTATCAGATTTTGCAGAAGATAGGAGAAGTGGCCTATCGTGTGGCTTTACCACCTTCGCTTGCTAATCTTCATGACGTATTCCATGTATCTCAGTTGAGGAAATACATTGCGGATCCGTCTCATGTAGTCCAATTAGATGATGTGCAGGTGAGAGATAACCTGACTGTTGAGACATCACCTATGCGGATAGAGGATCGGAAATTGAAGCAGCTTCGAGGTAAAGAGATTGCTTTAGTGAAGGTCGCTTGGGGAGGACCGGCTGGTGGGAATGTTACTTGGGAGCTTGAGAGCCAGATGAAAGAGTCTTATCCAGAACTGTTTGAACCAGGTAACATTTTCGAGGACGAAAATTCCTAAAGTGGGGGAGGGTTGTAACAGCCCGAATTTCATTAAATAATTAATTATAGTAATTAATTGATTTAGTGGGATTTTTATTAATGTTGGAAATTAATTTTTATTAATTGGAATTAATAGAGAATTGAGAAGGAAATTGGAAGGAAGGAAAATAAAAGAAATATATATAATAGAGAAGGAAAAGAAAAGAAAATTGGAGAGAAACATTTGGAAAGAAAGAAGAAGAGAAATAGGGAAGAAGAAGAGAAAGAGAGGAGAAGAAGAGGAAAGTGGAAAATCATCAAGAACCAACATCAAAGCTCCGATTAATCGAGGTAAGGGTGAGAAATGTTTCTATTTGATCATTGCATGATGTTATATATGTTGGGTTGGGGTTTTGGTGTAGTTTCCATCCTTTTTCATTTAGGGCAAAAGTTAGAATAATCGGTAGAAATGTGATTTAATCGGTTGGAATTGAGTAATAATGCCGTAGAATAGTCGGGTAACATGTATTGATGTTGTTTTGAGCTGGTTTTGATGTTTGGGAGTTGGTTGGTGGTGGTTTGAGAAGGAGAAGACAGAACAAAATTCTGTTATGCGCAGGTTCGCTGGCCCTCGCCAGGCGAAGCCTAGCGCACGCTGGCGAATAATTATGATTAAGTCCCAGTGGACTTCGCTGGCGAGTTCGCCAGGCGAAGGTTGGTTAGCAAATGTTCGCCCAGCGAAAGTGCTGGCGAATGGTGGCGAACAAAGTAAGTAGCTATTGACTTTGGCTCGCTGGGGAGTCTCGCCAGGCGAAGGCCTATCGAGTGTTCGCTGAGAGGGTTCACCAGGCGAAGGTCCAGTGAAGGTTCGCTGCGGGGCCTCGCCAGGCGAATATGGGCGAATTTGACAGCATCTTTTCTTTGTTGTGGTTTCTATGTGTTGACGATTTAGTTGTTTCACATAGACTAATACCTCTACATTTTGAGTATGTATGTGATCTATTATGATGATATATGCTGTGGGTAGCCTACGGGCATGAATCCTAGAATTGTGATTTGAATGTTAATTGCATCAAGTATAAATACATGTGAACATAATAGGTGATTATGTGTGTATTATTTAATGAACTTGTGAATGCTTGATGTGAATACAATTATGTGATGAGTATGCATGAGAACATTGTGAACATGTGTGCATAACTTGTAATTGTATGATTGGTATTGTGATGTGCATACCTTGATTGTTGTGATATATGTTGTATGTGCAATCATTGTGTAATTCTTGAAGAGATGAATTATTAAATGCATGAGATTAAGATGCGAGAACGGTCTTAAGTGCATTGTTGTGGTTGATTGCATATGCATCATTTAGTCAAGAGGCAATGTCTGTTAGTTTCGTGGAAATTAGTGGCTTGTCCCAAACCTAGAAGAGTGGGTTTGAAGGCTTAGAGGACGGGCCTTTGTTGTTATCGGTCTAGAAGAGTGGACCCGGTTTAATGTAAAAACCGAAAAATGATAACGGGTTATCGGTCTAGAAGAGTGGACCCAGTTTAATGTAAAAACCAAAAAATGATAACGAGAGTCGGTACCGCATTGCATGAGTTGCATTGAGTTGTTGAGTCACATTGATATATGACATATGCATGAAGAGATGCTTATGCGTGAATGATAAGATTGTGGAAATGTGAGTGTATGCATGATGTGGGAATGCTTTGTGAATATTCATGTTGTCTATATATGTGTGGTAAATATATATGACTAAGAGGGTGAATTGTGGTGAGAAATATGGAGTTGAATTATATGATTACCTATATATATAATCTTATGCTTTGATTATTATGGTTATATTTCTCACCCTTCTGCTGTTTTATAATGCTCTACGAGACATTGCAGATTAGGATGCTAGAGTCTTTCTTTTGTGAAGTATAGCTTCATTATTTTGAGTCGGACTGCTCTGATTATGTAACACCGGGTAGTTAGGCTGGTATAGTATTCTTTGTGATACATTGCGATGTATCAGCTGATGTGGCTTTGTAATTACCTGACATGATGTATTAATCTGGATATTTTATGTGTATGTGAATTAATATTTTGGAAATGATTAAATGATTTTATCTTCCGCTTAAATTTTAATGTTGGAATGTGATTTCTAAAACCATGAAAATGTTACATATTTTATGGAGCAAGTGTTAAAGTGTTTCATTGGTGAAATTGTGACATTCTTCCTTTATACCTTATTCTAAAATTTTCACTCTGATAATTTTGTATATGCATTTATTTGGGGGTATAGAAGGGGGTGTTACAACACCAGCAGGTGTCAGCTCGTCCAGAATAGGTCGCAACTCATCCACCTCCAAGGCACCTTGCCTATATGACCATCTCATCGCTCGAGGGAGACCCACATTATTAGCTGGTATCCGATTCTCTCCTTTTTTCCAAGTGTTGGAAAATACTCATGAATCCAGAACTGTTACAAAATTAATATGGTTATTAAATTTAAAATAATTAATTATAACATAATAAACTAGATAAATAAAATTAATATACTAGATAAAATTTATCAAAACAAAATATACTAAATTAAAATAAATACCTGTAAGAAAGTCGGATAACCACCAAGCTGCTTACAGCTGAACATGGAAGCATCTCCGAGATATCTGTAAAGAGTAACCAACGCAGTTGCTCCCCAACTGTATCCTGATAAGCCATCCAAGTCTATAAACGGTGAGAGGTATCGTGCCTCGACAAGCGTAAACGTCTTGTCCGCGAAAATAGTGGAATCGACTAACATCAGCAAATAAGCTCTAGTGGCATAATGCCATCTAGATGCAGCTCTATGCTCTACGAACTGATCATATAACCACTCCAGCTTATAGTAGGAACCCCTGCAGTCACGGACTTGTTGTTGTGCTACTCTCTGTGACACTCCTAAATAATCAACAACCCACTCAACAACAAGCGCTTCACTGATATCTTGAGGGCTCCAGAAGACTCCCCTGATGGGCAAGTGAAGCAGGCAAGATACGTCATCTAGAGTAATCGTCATCTCACCAAACGGCATGTGAAATGAAGTTGTCTTTAGATGCCATCTCTCTGCAAATGCGGAAACTAGGTTTGTGTCTATCTTTGTTAAACTGGTCTCTGGAGTGAAGCTAGACCAGACCTAGATATTCAGCTCTCCATCTCTCTAGGTAGTTGTAGTGGAACCCTCTGAGTCAACTTCAATCCATGTCCCACTACCTTTAACTTTTCTTCGACCCTCTCTCCTGAAAACAATTAAAAATAAATATATTATAAAATTCAATATTAAAAATTCGAATTCTATTCAATATTAAATAATTTTCGTCTACTTACCTCACCGAACCATATACGGTTTGCAACATGTTGTTCGTACTTAACTAACAGAGATGTATCATAGGTCCTCCTGGATATCCAACAGGCTAGGATGCTGATGCAGATGCATCAAAATGCTCTTCTTCAGCCATTCTCGATGACTTGCCCCGTCCTAGTCCACGAGGGATCCTACCATCTCTGCCTCGTGTGCGCACCACTGAAAAAAAAATTAAAAATTAAAATAAATAAATAAATAAAATTAAAAATTAAAAATTAAAAAAAAAACAATGAACCGTAAGTCTTGAGCAAAGAGTTCTGGAGAAGAAACAGAAAATGTGTGTACCGGAAGACTTAAGTCAAGACATCCGGTTAACAAAATCAAAATTTCATGAACCGGAAGACCTGCATTAAGTCTTCCGGTGTAAAAACCCAAACAAATTACAAACCGAAAGACATGCGTTAAGTCTTCAGGTGAAGAAACCAAAACAAAGTACAAACCGGAATACTTACTCTTGGAGTTCCGGTATGTATTGGAAAACAAATGCATTCCGCAAGACTTGGTGGAAGAGTTCCGGTTTGTAAATGCAAATAGAAAGCTCCGGAAGACTTGAAATGGAAATGAAGTGAAAGTGAAAAAATTTACAAAATTATAGACATTTAAACAAGGGTATTTTGGTTCAATTTTATTTAGTGTAGGGGTGTGGGGATAAGTGTAGGGGTATGGGGTAAAATTTCCTTGAGAAAGATATGATGTCTTTGGATATAATTGAATATAATGAAGACATCATTAGGGATACAGAACAAACCCGTATCTAATTAATCATCAATAGTGGAAACTCAACTCACACTTGATTAATGTTAAGTCTTAAGTTCAATGATGAAAGTACACTATTATAGTGATTGAAGTACTTAATGATAGATACATCCTAAGGGGTAAAAGTACTTGGACCATAAGAATAAGTGTGGTACGATGAAGTTTTCCTCTTAATAGACATATATCATATATTTGATGGAATGCATAATTATGGGTGCATTTCTGATATAGTCTACTTATATGAGAATGAAATGGTGCCGCTTCATAGAGTTCAAGGGTCTGACTCTTAAATTTTCATGAAAAGGATATGAGACATATGACCTTATTAAATGTGTCATATTAATAATTCAATTAATGGTACCGAAATTTCATGTGTGAGTTATGCAAGCTTGTTCTAATGAATAATTAATTCAAAGTTTGTCTACCAATCTATTCGGGGATGAGTAAAAACCTAACTTACTAAGTATTGGTTCAAAATGTAAGATACCTTTATCTAAAACCATGAAATTTCATGAATAATGAATTTAGATATATTTTGAAAATGGTAGGGGATTGTTGGAGAAATTTCCAAAATATTAAATTGATAAATAATAATGGTTAAATTAACAAAATAAATGGCCAAAAGTTTTAACTGTCTAGAATAGAACCAGAGACCCTATAATGATTGAGTGCGCGGTCAAAAGGTGCAACCACCAGATTAACACAACTTTTCATGAAAAAGTTTGTTGCTATTGATATACAATGGCTCGCGAATGGTCATGTTAGAATCAAATGAAACATTGTTTCTCCACACCAATTGGTACATGTTTTCTTATAAATAGAGATACTTGTCAGCCATAAAAGATATATGAAAATAATATATTTTAGAGGAAAAATTTATATCTAAGTGATTTCTTTATTTTTCTTGTGCACGAGAATAAGTGAAGGAAATTTATTCTGTAAAATATCATGGATCGATATGCTTAATGTGAATGTGCAATTCATGTTAAAATTTCAAAAGTATCCTGAAGGGGATTCGTCGAATTACCCATTTGCATTCATTTTGGCTAAATTGGTGGAGGCGAATCGAACCTAAAGCTTAGTGTAAACACACATTTTGAGATTAATTTTGTGCAACTTTCATCATAACATTTTCATTTTCTTATTCAAGTTTTGCGGCGACCCCTAACACAAGATGTAACTTTCATTTTCATTTTCAAATCGTAGGATACCTTTATCTGAAACCATGGAATTTTCTTAATAATAAATTTAGATATATTTTGAAAATGGTGGGGGATTGTTGGAGAAATTTCTAAAATATTAAATTGATAAATAATAATGGTTAAATTACCAAAATAAATGGCCAAAAGTTGTAACTCTCTAGAATTGAACCAAAGACCTTATTATGATAAGGCATGTGGTCATAAGGTGCAACCACCAGATCAACACAACTTTTCATGAAATAGTTTTCTATTATTGATATATAATGGTTTGCGAATGGTTATGTTTAAACCATTAAAACATTGTTTCTCCTCACCAATTGGTACAAGTTTTTCTATAAATAGAGATACTTGTTAGGCATAAAAAAGAGACACAAAAAACTACCTGTTTCAAGTGCCAAAAATTATATCTAATCATTTTTTTATTTTTCTCATGCACGAGAATAAATGAGAAAACTGTATTCAGTAAAATATAACTAATCGATATGCTTAATGTGAATATGCGATTCATGTTAAGGTTTTCAAAGTATCCTGAAGGAGATTCGCCGGTTAACCCTTTTGCATCTAATTTGTATAAATTTGTGGGGGGAAATCGAAGCTAAAGCTTAGTATAAACACACGCTTTGGAATTATTTTGTGCAACTTTCGTCGTACCGTCTTCAACACCTTCTTCTTGTTCGTGTTTTACAGTAGACCCCCAACACAAGATCTAACATTTTTAGACTAATCCTGAGCTCCAATCACTCTTTGATACCACCAAGTTTAAAATGAAAAGGAGAACCTATAGCCACTCAAGTCAGAATAAGTGAGATGATTGTGTAATCCTTCAACTTCTGAACGACCTCTTTGCATTATGGTGACTACGTGACAAGTATGTCCTAGAAGTTCTTGCGATTCATTTATATCCCCCCTCATTGCTAACATAAAACCCGTAAATATTGTTGGATGAACCATAAATGTACACTTTTATAGATTTAGCTTTATGCTAAAACTCCTTAGGAATTTTTAAAATACAATATAAACCAACTATGCGGTCTTCCTCCATGGTTGATTTGATGATCATGCCATGGTAAAGAAAAACACTTTTACAAAGTCAAAGCTTGGAGGGAGAATATTTTGTTTATTGAATAAAGGAAATGGCTTTTAAATAACCTTTACACAAAATAAAATAGAGAAAAAATAGTCCACTAAACAAACCCTAAGAATGTGAACATAATGGCTAGATAACAAGTTAAAGAAACCACTTAACTCTAACAACAACACTACTGATTTCATTCTAATTAATAAATTAGTTTAAAATAAAAACAAATTTAACATCCTCCCTTAAACATAATGCTACTACTAGCAAATAATTTAATTTGGCGGTGAACACACTCTTAGTAGGGTGTGCAAGTTTTAAAGAATTTGTCATCACATCACTTATTCATGAGTATTGCAGTAAACTAGTTCTACAGTTTCATCATTTGAGAGTTCACGAAAGAAATGTAAGTGAACATCAATGTGTTTGCTACGACCATGCATCACGTGACTTTTAGCAAGTTTAATAACATTCATATCAATAGAGAACTCAATGACGTCAATCATAACATTTTAGTAGATATCATATCAATTAATAAGATCCATATCAATAGAGAACGCTATGACATCAAACGTAGCAATTTAACACATATCATATATTTTCAGCAATTAACATAGCACAAAATTAGGATTAACATCAACCCTAAGGGGTTTTATACAAACTCATTTAAGGTTCAATTCATTCATCAATAGGAGAAACATAAAAGAGAGAAAGGGAAAGAGGATAAGGACTCCCGACTACTCCTCATGATTAACACATATATTGAGTAAGTCTCTCCTCTTACCCCGAATTTGCATAAAAGTTTTGAACTTTGACTATGGAGATTCTCTTCTTCATTTGGTCTCTTAGGGTTGCCTCCACTCTCTTCTTACTCGTTATTTTCCAAAACATCTACGTACTCTCTTTTCTCTATTCTCTCTTCTACATAAATAAAAAACCCTATTTATTTTTATTTCATTAATCACACTAATTCCCTTAATTCCACATAATTCTACCTACTTACTTATTTTTATTTAAAATTCTATTTCACTTTCCACTCACAAATTCTCTCCATTTCTACCAATTAATTTATTAAACTAATTAAATAAATTATACCAATTCTCCTTAATTACTATTTAAATTCTAATTTAATATTAAAATCAATATTTTCTACTTCTATATAGTTCAATTATTAAAAAATTTAAATAAATTCTACCCAACGACTCATTAACTCATATAATATTAATTAATCACACAAAGATATTCTTAAATAAAATATATAGAAAAAATATCATTAACAAAATGTTATAATAAAAATTGGGGTGTTACATTCACTGCATTTATACTATATTTGACTAATTCTTCTAAGATATGACAAAATTTGAAAGATAATATAAAATAGTTGATTCCAAAATCATTGTGAGGGGTACGGGATTTGGTGTCACTCCATCAAAACTGTATAAGCAGACAAAGAAAAAAATCCTAGCAACAAAGAAGTGATGGATACTTTGGAGGAATTGAAAGCTCAGATTCGTGAATTACAGAAGGACAAAGAGAGATACATGTCGGAAAGGCGCTCTCCAGAGAATAAAGCTACTAGTGACAAAGATAGTATCGGTTGTCCGCAGAAGCTTCCAGAGGTAATTGTATATATTATA